ATAGAAGTACATTTCTTTGTTGTGCAGCCATCACCACCATTCATTTCAGAACTTTCTCATCTTGTGAAACCAACACTTCATATTCATTAAACAATGACTCTCCTTTCTCTAGCCCTTAACTGTCATCATTCTGCTTTCTATGAATTTGACAACCAGATTTTTAAATTTTTAATTTGTTATATATGACAGCAGAATGCATTACAATTCACATTACACATATAGAGCATACTTTTTCATATCTCTGGTTGTACACAAAATAGAGTCACACCATTTGTGTCTTCATACCTACGTAGGGTAATGATATTCATCTTATTCCCCAGTCTTTCCTTCCCTGGTATCCACTCCTTTCCCCCCCCTCACCCCTTTGCCCTATCTAGAGTTCATCTAATCCTCCCATGCTCCGCCTCCCAACCCTACTATGAATTAGTCTCTTTATTTATTTATTTTTAATATTTATTTTTTAGTTTTCGGCGAACACATCTTTCTTTGTATATGGTGCTGAGGATCGAACCCAGGCCTGACGCATTCCAGGCGAGCGCGCTACCGCTTGAGCCACATCCCCAGCCCCAAATCAGTCTCTTTATATCAGAGAAAACATTCAACATTTGGTTTGGGGGGATTGGCTAATTTCACTTAGCATTATAATCTCCAACTCCATCCATTTACCTGCAAATGCCATGATTTTATTCTCCTTTAATGCTGAGTAATTATTCCATTGTGTATATATACCACATTTTTTTTACCCATTCATCTACTGAAGAACATCTAGGTTGGTTCCACAATTTAGCTATTGTGAATTGTGTGGTTATAAACATTGATGTGGCTGTGTCCCTATATTATGCTGTTTTTAAGTCCTTTGGATATAGACTGAGGAATGGGATAGCTGGGTTAAATGGTGGTTCCATTCCCAGTTTTCCAAGGATTCTCCATACTGCTTTATATATTGGCTGCACCAATTTGCAGTTCCCCCAGCAATGTATGAGTGTGCCTTTTCCCTCACATCCTCACCAACACTTATTGTTGTTTGTATTCTTCATAGCTGCTATTCTGACTGGAGTGAGATGAAATCTTAGAGTAGTTTTGATTTGCATTTCTGTAATTGCTAGAGATGATGAGTATTTTTTCATATATTTTTTGATTGACTGTATATCATCTGCTAAGAAGTGTCTTTTCAGTTCCTTGGCCCATTTATTGATTAGGTTATTTGGGTTTTTTTTGGTGTTAACATTTTTGAATTCTTGAGCGGGTATGGTGGTGTACACCTATAATCCCAGCAGCTCAAGAGGCTGAGACAAGAGAATCATGAATTCAAAGCCAGCCTCAACAACGGTGAGGCACTAAGCAACTCAGTGAGACCCTGTCTCTAAAAGGAATACAAAAAAGGGCTGGGGATGTGGCTCAGTGACTGAGTACCCCTGAGTTTAATCCCCGTTACAAAAATATATATATATATATATATATATATATTTGAGTTCTTTATATATAGTAGAGATTAATGCTCTATCTGATATGTGTGTGGTAAAAATTTGCTCCCATTCTGCAGGCTCTCTATTCATCTGATTGGTTTTTTTTGCTGAGAAGAAGCTTTTTAGTTTGAATTCATCCAATTTATGGATTCTTGTTTTTAATTCTTGCACTATAGGAGTCTTATTAAGGAAGTTGGTGCCTAATCCAATATGATGAAGATTTGGGCCTACTTTTTCTTTTAATAGGCGCAGTGTCTCTGGTTTAATTCCTAGGTCCTTGATCCACTTTAAGTTGAATTTTGTGCATGGTGAGAGACAGGGGTTTAATTTCATTTTGTTGCATATGGATTTCCAGTTTCCCCAGCACCATTTGTTGAAGAGGCTATCTTTTCTCCAATGTATATTTTTGGCACCTTTGACAACCAGATTTTACCTCAGATAAGTATGGTGTGTCTCCGTCTCTCAGTATTAGAAATATTTTAATCCATAAACTCAGGATATCTTTCCATTTATTTGATCATCTTTAATTTCTTTCAATTATTTTTATTTTAGTTTCCAGTTGGCAACTTGATTAATTTCTAAATGTTTTATTATTTTCTATGCTATTGTAAATGAAATTATTTTCTTAATTTGCTTTTCAGATTATTCATTGTTAATGTCTAGAAACAACTTTTTTGGGGTGAGGTTTTGGAGATTGAACCCAGAAGTGCTTTACCACTAAGTCACATCCCCAGTCCTTTTTATTTTTTATTTTGAGACAGGGACTTGCTAAATTGCTTAGGGCATCACTAAATTGCTGAAGCTGGTTTTGGATTTGTAATCCTCCTACCTTAGCCTCCCAAATTGCTGGGATTACAGGTGTGCACCACCATACCCAGGGAAACACAACCAATTTTTGTGTGTTCACTCTATTCTGCAACTTTGCTGAATTTATTTATTAGTTCCAACAGTTGTTAGGTGGAATCTTTAGAGTTTTCTACATGTAAGATCACATCATCTTTGAAAATAGAGAATTTATACAGGAAAAACAAAACAAAACACATTCTTTTTGTGTGATATTTATTCTGTCTTTTTAATGCTATATTGTTAAGTCTGACTTTAACCTCTGAGATTGCTTTTTATTTATTTATTTTTTTAGTTGTAGTTGGACACAACACCTTTATTTCACTTGTTTATTTTTGTGTGGTGCTGAGGATCCAACCCAGGGTCTCGCACGTTTGAGGAGAGCGCTCTACTGCTGAGCCACAACCCCAGCCCCACTGAGATTGATTTTTAAATTAAATTTTTATTTATGGGCTTGGGCTGTAGTTCAGTGGCAGAGCACTTGCCTGGCATACCTGAGGTACTGGGTTTGATCCTCAGCACCACATAAAAATAATCAAATAAAATAAAGGCATTCTGTTCATCCACAACTACAAAAAAAAAATTTATTTACATGGGAAGTTACAAATTTATAGTATGAAGGATCCTTACTTAGATTCTGCAGTGCAGTACAAGGTCACACAGCAAGTTAGAGGTTAAATAGACATCTGAAACCTGAGCTGTTTCTCTGCTTAGCTTTCTAGGAGTAGACAAAGCCTAGCTGGCAGCCAGCATGGAAGCCCTTGCCTAAAAGGTATTTATGGGACTCAGAATTGTTCCCTTTCTGTTTTCACCCAAAGCTTTCCTTATCTTAGGAAGTGGAGAATCTGGCTAAATCCCAATGTATCCATCTGGTTAAAATAAACATCTTGGGTGGTCTAAAATGGAAAAGAACTTGGTGAAAAGTCAGTTTTGGAAGTGGGAGACATATTTGGAAGTAGGACACATTTTGTCTCAATGAGGTGTGGGATTTTTTTAGCACCAGTTGAACACATGGTCTTAGCCCCATGGCTGAGTATTTCCTCCCAGCTGAATACTTCTATATCACTGCCAGCTGCTTGTGGTAGGGTTTGGGGAGGCAGGTATTCTCTGAAAGGTAAGACCGTGGCCCCCGACAGACACTGATGGATCCCAGAAATTAGTGGTCCAGGAGGATAACTACCAGCTGTTGTTATGAAGTAGAGGTCTAACTGCATATCCTGTTTTGTTTTTCTTTAAATGACCCATGAAAATACACAGAATGTTTTGTTTTAATGTGATACTGGGGATAGAACTCAGGGACATTCTACCAATGAGCTACATCCTCAGGCCTTTTTTTAAGATATGGTCTTGCTAAATTGCCCAGACTGTCCTGGAACTTGCAGTCCTCCTGCCTCAGCCTCTAGAGTAACTGGGATTATAGCTACCACATCTGGCTCAAAATACATTTTAAAAAATTGTTACCTACATGGGACTGTTATTAGAAAGGTGGGTCATGTGTCCAGCCTCAGGAGTATGCTAATCACATTATCCCTATTAACTTGTATTATCTAGAGTTCTTGCTCACTTCCGGGCTCATCAGTTTGAAGTTTGGTGCAGAAGATAAGTTTTTGTTTCAATTCTTTGAAAAGCATTGTAAGAAGCAGCTCTCATTAAGCAGTTGAACCATCCAAACCACTTCTCCTTTTTAGGGAAATATTAATATTCATTCTCCAGATGTAAATGAATTGAAAAATTTACTTTGAAGAGTTCTTCTAGCACTAACCTATTCTTCTAAGCTTCAGAGCCAAGTGTTCAGTTTAGGAGTAAAAAATCAGGACCTTGGATGAATGGGCAAAGGAATTGCTCCTTAATCTGGGTAAATTGAGTACCAATGGGAGATTAAACATCCTCTATCCAGGTATACTGGGGAGAAGTCAAGAAGCCACTTTGGTTGTATAACAGCTTTTGCAGGTGGGTACTAGGGATTGAATGCTGGGGCCCTTTACCACTGAGCTACATTCCCAGCCTTTTTAAAATTTTGAGACAAGGGTCTTACTTAATTGCCCAGGCTGGTTTGTGAGTCTTCTGAGTAGGGAGGATTACAGATGTATACCATAGTGTCTAGCCCCACCCAGTTCCTTTACCTAGAGGGGCATTCATTTTCTCTGTGTGCACAAAAATTTTAAGACATAATGAACATCACAAAGACCCACTCACAGTAAAACTACCATCACAGACCCTGGTTTCTGTACTTTGGGTTGACATTAGTGTGTTGTTATTTCCATGTGGTGGAAATGCATTCGTAGAGAAAAACCAACAGGGGGATTACTAGCTTATACAATAGGGAAGTGGGGTAGTACTGGCTTCAGACATGACTGGAGCACTGGTCTCATATCTACTTCTCTTTGTGCTGGCTTCATGTTCTTTTCCGAGAGGGAAAGGACAAAGTTGCCATTTCCCCAAGTTCATACCCTGATCACATAGCAAGCCCAAAGCTTAACTGCTGATCTCAGGGATACATATGTCCAGCGTGGGATACATATGTCCCCTGTACATTGTGATGAATGGGTTATAGAATAGGACTGGGGAAAAGAAATAGGGGCGCAGGATGTACAAAACTCACACAGATGGCTAAAAGGGAGAGTGAAGGAGGTAAGACAGAGTAAAAACAGTACTTGGTCCCCAGAGCCATAAAGGATCAATCAAGAACAGTTACATTTTAAAAATAAACAAAAACAGAACAACTTTATTTGACAAAAGACAAAAACAAAAGTTATTTACAGTAGTTTTTTGCTCAAATAATTCAATGGGACAACTGTGCTTTATCCTCCAGGTTTACTTACAACCAAACCCAAGCAGAGGCTGCCCTATCCCCAGAGGCCCCATTTTACACAAGAAGGGAATGCCAGACAGAATTCAGCAGCATGGCCCCCTCTCCCCTCACAGTTCAGTGCACTGCAGGAAAGGAAAACCCCACTCCAACCCAATACACTGAGTCACCTACTGTAGGAGTTACATTAGATCTGGGCTCACAGACACCACTGGGGTAGGAGAGATGGAAGCACAGTAGCTTCAGAGCGTCAGCTAACTTGGAAGCTGCCATGTTGACCTTCCCCAACTGGGTCTGATGAGGGTGAAGATACCCAGTTCCCTGCAGCAAAGAGGCTGGAGGGAGGCAGAACAGAGAGCCTAGGAAACCTGCCCATCTACAGAGGGCAAAACTCCCTTTCTGTAAGTAACCTATTCCCATGCCCACTGTAAGGGACGGGCCAAGTCATTCAGGAGAGGTAGGGGAACCTCCCTGAGGGTGTCAGGGATCTCCCGAAAAAGGACAAAGTATATGCCCTTGCTGTGGCCAAGTCAGTCAAGACCCAGGAACCCCTTCCCCTCATGCCCAACCTAGCAATTTCAGGAAACTACAACAGGCCAGGGCTCCTGGCCTATCTTTTGGCCCAGTAACAATGTTATTCAGAACAAAAATATTTTGGCTAATAAAAGTCTAGGATTAGTGTTTCTTAAGATATATAAAGATGGGATATACTGCTGTTGAACACTATCAGCAATGAAACAGCAAAATAAAGGGTGGTGGGGTGAAGACCAATTGTGATGTTTCATTGGGAAACTCAGGCCGGGCCTTTGCAACTCCAGGTTAAAGAAAGGTGAAGCAAAGACACAAAAACTACGTTTCTGGCCCATTTCCAGCCCCACTGCAGGAAATTCCCTGCTTCTTCCAGGAATAGCTTCTACCACCTTTGTGGGAAAAGCTGCCTGTTCTAGTAGCTAGAAGGACTTCCTGACCAGCAGATGGCTCACTGCTCCCCAAGTGGAGATGCTGGGAGCTTCTAATATTCCAGTCCCAAGTTTCCAAAGGAATTTTAAAACTCAGGCTGCAGGGCAAAGCCTTCAAGGAAAAAAAAAAAAAAAAGGGTGGGGGGGAGTATTAACAAGGGGAAGAAGGGAAAAAAAAATAGCCCATTGCTTCAGTCTAGCTTACTCCCCCACCCCCACCCCAAAACAGAGTAAAAACAAATCTCTGGTTTTATCACCTTTCTCTGCTCTATGTCTAGGTTGAGTCAGGTTCTGCTGTACTCTCTCTTGGCTGTGGCTACGCCCTTCTGTGCCTGATGCAAAAGAGCCAATGCCAAATTTCTTTTTCTGCCCCACCTTTTTGGTAAACCAAAGGAACAATAAAACAACCATTTGGAATTTCTCATTTTGCAGAGATTTAGCTGGTCCCCCAAATAAAAATACTCCTCCCTTGTACAATAACCCCCAGTTGCAGTCATGAAATCATTCACAGTGGAGGATTAGACTCCATCTGCCATCTTGCACTCTCATTCCCCACTCCTGCAATTAATGCAAACCACAGCAAAAGAGGAAAAATAAACAGTTTAGCAAAAATCTAAACATTCAACTGGAGTCGGTGCTGTTAAATGTGCTGGATCCCTCTTCTTTTGCCCACACTTATGAACATGGAATGTCCACACCTGGTTTGACAGAGGCACAGCTCAGGAGCAGCATGGACCCAGCATAGGTCTGAACTTGGCAGGTTTTCTGAGCCCAGCCAAGGAAAGCAGGCTGGAACAAAAGGTCCCAGGAATTCTCTGGAGGAGCAGCAGCAGCACCATGCCTATCTCCAATCTCTTGGTCTCATCACTGAGGACGACTGGAGACAAGGCAGTCAGCAGAGAGGTCCCTGTCACAACGCAGTGACACTAGCTGGCATCTTCCTGCTGAAGACTTCTGGACAGAGGAGATGATACCGATGCTTGGCAGTGATCCATAGAAAACCCTCTGTATGGAAGGGAAGCGAACCAGGAACCCAGAACACCTGGCTTGAGCCTTGAGCACCCCTGTAGCAGATGCCTACTTGGGGTTCTCAGAAACTAAAGGGATTGGAGTATGCAGCAACGGGGGTGCTGGGTCCTGCTGCTTCTGAAGCTCCATCTCGGCAGCCCTCTGCAGCGCCACCTCTACCAGCAGCTGGAAGCTGCTGAAGTCCTCCTTGTCCTGCTCTGGGGGTGTGGGCGGTGGTGTGTTGAAAAGTCCACCTGTGGGGCTCCCAGCCTCAGCCCTGGTCAGCAGGGCAAGTGTACTACCAGGGGTCACTAGGGACTTGGGGGACTCCAGCTCCCCTGGTGGGAAGGAGGCTGCTGGCTTTTCCCCCTGGCCTGTGTGGAGCGGCATGGAACACACAGACAAAGAGAGCACATTGGCGGGGGCAGGTACCGACACTGCCAGCACTGAGGGGCTATTACCACGGGGCAGGGCCACTTCTGCGGCCTTACCGCCACGGCGGGAAATGGTGAACTGATTAGGGTCTTTGCCGTCCTTCCGAAGCATGTCTGGGAGAAGCCGCCGCCGGGCGTTGATGAACCAGTTACATATCTGGAATGAGTATAAGAGACTGATCAGTTCACTCCATCCAAAACTACTATGAAGTTCTAAGCCCCAGAAACAACATCAAATATAAACAAGGTCCCAGCCCTCACAGTGGGTCACAGAAGGAGGAGAGTATATGAGAAATCACACAAACATAAACAGTGCTGGTGGAGACAATGACAGGGAAATCCAGTCTGGCCTTTGTGGATTTGGGGAAGTATTCCCTGAGGAAGCAGCTCTTCAACTGAGATCTAAAGTTATAAACAATTGATGAGGGGGGAACGGGCAGGGAGGAGTGGCAGGTAGCAGTAGAGTACCTATAAGAAACTCTGAAAGCAGGCCCACTTTGCTGGGCTGAGGATCCATTTCTTTCTCTCTCTTTTTTGGATACTAGGGATTGAACTCTGGGGCGCTTACCTAATGAGCCATATCCTCATTAACATTTCTGTATTTCTTTATTTAGAGACAGGGTTTCACTAAGTTGCTGAGGCTGGCTCTGAACTTGCGATCCTCGTTTCAGCCTCCTGAGCTGTTGGGGTTACAGGTGTGTGCCTCAGTGTCCTGCAAGGATCCATTTTTCTTTCTTTCTTTCTTTCTTTCTTTTTTTTTTTAAGGATCCTTTTCTTGATCAGCAACAAAACTATAAGGAGTGATTTGCTTTGTGGAAGCAGGGAGATGGGCTGGTAGTTCAGGTTACATTAAGGCATGAGGCAAGAAAAGGAAAAATGTTTGATCTATTTAGGAAACTGGAAGTGGCAGGACCTGCGCTGGATGAGTGTAGGTGAGTGAAGGAGAGAGGGGATGATGTGAAGAGTGATCCACTCCTAAATCTGAAGAGTGTTGGTGTAGGCTGGAGAAAAGAGCCACAAATTACCAAGGAACAGTCAGAAGAAAAATTACTGTTTTTGAGCAACACCAGGATTATGAGGCATGAAATTCTCCACTGCACACTGTGATATGCTACAAAACTCAAGGTGCCTGTAGATTCATGTGTCATATGCACACAGAACTAGGGATGGATTTCCAGGAACTTATACAATCTAGACAAGTACTCTGCCACTGAGCTACAATCCCAACTCTGTATTTGATTCGATTTGATTCTGAGAAATCGGATCACTACATTGCCCAGACTGCCTTGAATTTGTACTCCTCCTGCCTCAATCTCCTGAGTTACTGGGAACACAGGTGTGGCAGTGCACCCAGCCTCTAAGCTCTTTTGAGAACCAGCTTCACAGTTTCCAGTCTAGTCTTCTCACTGGTTGTCAGTCCCTTTCTAAAATGCAATGGCTCTCATTTCTGTTGTAGAAAACTGCCATTTTTGTCTTCCTACAGATCAGTCCAGATTCCAGAGCCTAGATATTAAAACAGTCCCCTGATGGGCATGGTGGTGCACACGTATAATCCCTGCAACTCCAGAGGCTGAGACGGGAAGACTAAAAGTTCAAGGCCAGCCTGAGCAACTCGGCTAGACCCTGTCTCAAAATAATAAAAAGGGCTGGGGATGTAACTCAGTGGTGCAGTGCCCCAGGGTTCAATCCCCAGTTTTTTTTTCCCTCTCTCACGCACATACACCCCCCCCCCCCCACACACACACACAAGCAGAGGTGGGGGTGTATGGTAGGTGATGACTCTAAACCAACAGGGCTGATCCCACTAGCCCAGAACACTATGGATTTTGTACATTTGTATCATCAGGCTTCTTTCTTGGCCCATTATTTGGGGCAAGCCCTTGGGTCCCATTTTCCCCTTGACTCTGCCTCTGTCCAGTCAAAGGAATAGCCACCTGTGACAGGAACTGTTGCCTGCCATAGCTCTCTACCTAGCTGGTTGCAGCAGTACCCATCCCACAGGTGACCCAAAGATAGCACTGTGTCCCTGTGAGGGCAGAGTCAGGAACTTCTACGGCCCCTCTTTCCACATCCATTCCAGCTTGAAAGGACCTCAACCCTGAAGTTCATTCATCCCACTTCACTTCTGTGGTCTTCCTAGTGAAACTGAGCAGGCACCAGTAGCAGACACTAACCAGTGCTGGCAGAACTGAATCCTGAGTTGAAGTACAGGGAAGCCCCAAAGAAGAGATTGGGCTGAACTGCTGAGGAGGCAGAAAGAAGGAAGAAAACTTATTACACACCTTTGATATCGCCAGCCATCTCATTTGCATTATGTTTAATCTGCATACAAGCCTGGGAGATAGTGGGCAGTGTCCCCAAAGTATTATAGAGGGAATCAGAAGCTCAAAAAGATGAAAGAGGGGCTGGGGTTGTGGCTCAGTGGCAGAGCACTTGCCTAGCATGCGTGAGACACTAGGTTCCAGGCCTCAGCACCACATAAATAAAATAAAGGTATTTTGTCTATCTACAATTAAAAAAAAAAAAAAAAGATGAAAGAACTTACAAGGCTCAGTTATTCAGCCTATAATCCCAGCTACTTGGGAGGCTGAGGTAGGATGATACCAAGTTTGAGCTCAGCCTCAGCAATTTAGTGAGACCTTGTCTCAAAACAAACAAATAAGGTTTGGTGGGGCTGGAAGCACAGCTCAGTGGTAGAGCATTTGTCCAGCATTTGTAAGGCCCTGGGTTCAATCCTCAGTACCACCAAAAACAAAAAGTCTGGGGACATGGCTCAGCAGTAGAGCACCTCTGGGCCCAATCCCCAGTATTGGAGGCTGGGTGTTGTTGAGATGAAAGAACTTGCCCAGAGTCAGGCAGCCTCTGAGTACAGAGCTAGTATAGCTAAACAATCATCACTACAATCCTAATAGCAACACCTGAACACAAAACATCAGGTGCTATTCTGAATATCTGACACCTAATTATTTAATCTTCAACAGCCTCAGATGGGTCTGTGATGATCTGTTAGAGAAACAAGAGGCCTTGGTCAGGGAGGTTCAGTAATTCCTCAAGATCACAGTACAAAGGCTGCAATCTGACCAACAGTGAGTTCCAAGCACCCTTGTTAGCCAGCCTAGGGGCATCGGCAGGAGACCCTTTCTTTCCCCTGGCTCAGGAGCAGCGCCTTTCATCTATCTTCCTTCCATTTCTCCTCCCTCCCTCCCAAGGCATCTTCCTGGGCTACCTATGTTATAGGAGGGCACTGCACCTGTCCACCCCAGCCCTAGATGCAGGCAGTCAGTCAGGTCACAGTGACCTGGGCCAGGCAAAGTCAGGACAAGTCTAGCCTTGAAGCTGTTTCAGGGAGGGGTGCCTGGGTGCCCACTAGCAGCTGTGTGGACACCTAGCCCCTAGCTGCATCTCCCATTTTGGCTTTTGATTCACAGAAGAGAACAACAGGAAAACGGCCCCTGTACCCATTCCCCTGAGTGCTCACCCAGGTCCACAGAAGACTTGGCAGCCTACTGTCTGTAGTGTCTCCTTGTCCTATAGAAATCCCACAGCTGAGGGCGGCCGGCAAGGCAGGAGGCTGAGGAAGCCGATTTCCTAGCCCCTTCAGCTGCCCACTCATGCCTAAGTCAGGAAAAGAGCACGTGACTCGCCCTCAATCAAGGTCCTCCAGAGGCGATGGGAAGGAAGCCAAAGTGAATCCTGTGATTTGTGTGGCAGCACACAGGCTGCGTCCCTCAGAGCCTGGCTGTCATCAAAGGGCTCCATGGAAAAGCTGCTGCCTTGTCAAGGTTTTTTTTTTTTTTTCCTTAATCAGTGGCTGAGATGGGAGGAAATCACTGGAAAAGTAGAGGGGCTCCAGGAAGCTGGCGCAGGCCCTGAGAATGGGAAAAGGGGGTCTGAGGAAGTGGGCAGAAAGCTTTCATTCTAGTGTCCCCTCAGCTGTGAGAGAGCAAAGGGAAGAAGTGAAGGCGTGCTGAGGCCTTTCCCACACCTTGCAGCACCATCTGCCCAGCAGCCAGCAGTCCCAGGTGTTCTAAAAAGCAGCTGGCTGTATTACAATCACCTTGAAAGTGATTGAAAGGATGGGGATGTGGCTCAAGCATGAAGCGACCCGGTTCAACACCACATACAAAACAAAGATGTTGTGTCCGCCGATAACTAAAAAATAAATATTAAGATTCTCTCTCTCTCCCCCTCTCTCAGTCTCTCTTAAAAAAAAAAAGTGATTGAAAATTTTTTTTACAGAGCTATTTCCTATCTGCTTCATAGATCAGGTGGGGGTGGAGTCAGGATTTCTAAATAAGTGAGCAGGAGAGTTTGCTGATTGGGCTTAGGATGACCCGGCTGGTGTAACTTGTCCTTGTGGGCAGAGCCTTTTATTTAAGCAAAAACATAAGCTCAAAAAACAAAGATGGAGCGCCTCAGGAGTCTGAGGCAGGATGACCAGGAACTCAAAGCCAGCCTCAGGAAAAGCGAGGCTCTAACAACTCAGTGAGACCCTGTCTTTAAATAAAATACAAAATAGAGCTGGGGTTGTGGCCCGACGGTAGATCGCTCGCCTCGCATGTGTGAAACCCTGGGTTAGATCCTCAGCATCACATAAAAATAAACAAAATAAAGATATTGTGTCCATGTAGAACTAAAAAAATAATAATAATAATACAAAATAGAGTTGGGGATGTGGCTCAGAGGATGTGGCCCCTGAGTTCAATCCCTGGTACCTCCCCCCACCCCACTCCCCCAAAACAACCCCAGAGATGATAGGTGGGGATACAGCGTGTCTGTGGGAGGACTGAAAGGCAGCTAGCTTTAGAGCCAGGGAGAAAGGGAGCAACTGAAGATAGTCACTGGCTGCCAGGAGGCCCGACTGCCCCTTCCTCCCACCAGCATCACCACAGAGTCACCACAACCTCTGCACTAGGCTCCTTTCTCACTCTAGGTTCCTGAGCCATGAGGGTTCAGGAAAAGCTCCTCTCAGGAGGGGGCAGAGAGGTGCTGGTTCTGTTTCCAGCACAGAGCACTGGACCTGACTCAGTACAGCCCAGTTAATGTTGGAGGGAAGGTGGGCGGCACAGAACCCTCCCAGGCAGCCCCAGACTAGAAACCATAAAGGACTAGAAACCACAGAGGAGTCCAACCTTAAACTAGAAATAGAGGGTGTCACCGGGACCAGTGAATATCCTTCACAAGAGACTTTTTTTTTTTTGGTCTTACTCTCCCAACTGCCTTGCTCTGGGCAAGTCCTGGCAAAGCAGTCAGTTAAATGACTCATTGACTTGCTAATGAGATTGCTCCCGGGGCCCTTTAAAGGAGACTTTCAAAAGAGATGCCCCAAGGAAAGAAAACAAGCTTAGCCAAATGTGAATACCTGTTGAAATCTGTGGTATTTGGAGTTCATTGCAATATTCTTACTTTTCTGGATATTTGAAAATGTTAATGATAAAATTTTAAAATGTAAATATATAGGGGTCGAGCTCAGTGGCACACGCCTGTAATCCCAAGGACTCAGAAGGCTGCTGAAGGAGGATTGTAAATTCAAGGCGAGCCTCAGCAACTTGTGGAGACCCTGTCTCAAAACATAAAAAAATAGGGGCTGGGGTTGTGGCTCAGTGGTAGAGGGTTTGCCCCACCTGTGTGAGGCACTGGGCTCAATTTTCAGCACCACATATAAATAAACGAGTAAAATAAAAGTTCATTCCAGCAGCTTGGGAGGCTGAGCCAGGAAAAAAAAAGCCAGCCTCAGCAACTTAGGGAGGCCCTAAACAACTCAGCAAGACCCTGTCTTTAAAATAAAATGCCAAAAAAGGGCTAGAGATGTGGGCAGTGGTTAAGTGCCCCAGGTTCAATCCCAGGTACCAAAAACCAAACAAAATTATTTTCATAAAATAAAACGGTGTAGGATGTAGCTAAGTGGTAGAGTGCTTGCATTACATGCATATGCTTAAGGCCCGGGTTCAAGCCCCAGTGGGGAAGGGGAAGGGATGGCATGGGGAAATGGGGAAGGAAACAAAGAAGCCTCCAGGAATTTAAGCCAATTTTTCCTGACTCAGGAGCCTGTTTCCTTAATTCTGACATTTCCAATGCTTTATCATTATTTTCTGTCATTTTAACAGTTTAATACCAGGCATTGAGCTAAACACTGGGACTATAACAAAAAATGAAAGGAGGTCTCTTCCCTCCACACCTCCAGAATTTGGTGCCATCTAAAACTTAGCCAGTCAAGTGTCTCAATGTTAGGTCCCAGTCCAGTTGCTGTGGAAACACACAGCTTCCTCAGGGGTTGTGAGTCCCTTTTTCTGAGGGGGACAGCAGTTTGGGGTGGAGATCAGTATGTACAGCAGGAATGTGGGGGAGCAGATAAGACAGGCAGGTGATGTGATTAGGTTGGCAGGAGACACTGAAGAGTTTTAAATTTCAGAATAACAAGTCATCATCAGTCAATGATGACATGGAGAAGCATGGGAAAGAAGCTACATTCCAGAAACATTTAAGGGAATTTATACAGGGCAATCCTAAACAAGCTGAGAAGGGGCTATGGAAGGCAGCCCCTGAGAAAGGAAGGAGCCAAGTGGGAGAGTTCTCAGGCAATCAATCTGAGGGGCCTGAGAGGCTCCAAGACAAGTGCATAGTTGGGCTGATCTGAGATTCATGATAGTGTCCCTCAAGGAGTGCCACATGGTGCCCACTGTTTCCTAACTCTAGCATGACTGGCGCACAGTGGCCACCACTGGAAACTCCCACCACTGGAATCCAATGGCTGATCCTTGCCTTGGACTTGTCCAAGTGGACCTGTTGTCCTAAGGGACCCATTAGTTCTCAACGAGGATATCTTGGCTTCATGTTTCCACTGTGGTCATGGGTAGGAGTGGCCACTAGGACTCACCTCCAGAGTCAGAGCCTTCGTACCACTATATACTAGGACAGTCAGCAAAATACCATGGCCACTTTAATATAGTTAGAAGGAATTTCCCTGTTTTTATATTTATCTACTTTGAAAAATTATTTGGTTTTATACTTGCGTATAGAAGCAAAAAGCAAAAGTTTTTTTTTTGTTTTTTTTTTAAACCTTGTTTTATATTTGTACATACTTAAGTGAAATGATTCAGGAGCCTCTGTTTCCTTAATTCTGAAATCTCTAATGCTTTATCATTATTTTCTGTCAATAGAGCGCTTACCTAGCACATGTGAGGCCCTGGATTCAATCCTCAGTACAACATAAAAATAAATAAATAAAATAAAGGTACTGACAACTACAACTAAAAAATAAATACTAAAAAAAAAGGATTCAGATTACTATCTTGGGGAGACAGGTCCATGAATTTTTTTTTTTTCTAAAGAATTGGTACATGTATCAGATTTGAGAAAGTGTCCCTGACAAAAAGTAATTCCAATACAGTGACAAGTGGTTTGACAGAACAGGTATGGGAATACACAGCAGTGTCCCCAAACCTCAGCTGTGGGCCACAGAGTGTCTATACGAGAAAGAGGGGCTTGAATGGAGTGGGCCAGGTAGGAAAACTCAGGGCTGTGCCCAGCTGCTCCGAGCCAAGGGAGAAAGCCTAGAGGCCTGAGGGTCAAGGGCCAGGAGGAGCCTGGACCCACCCCAGGTAGGTGGGTTCAGGGCAACATCAGATTTGTGCTTTAGTATTCTAAAGAATGGACTGAAGGAGAAGGCTGAAGACGGTAAAGAGGCTGTCTGGGTGATCCTGGCTTTTGGGCTCTAGACCTTTTGCCTGTGCTGTTCTACATTCTGTAAGTTCAAGTCCACCTCTTCTGGGAGCTTCGGGTCTATTTGAAGCTCCAGCCCAGCCTGGGCCGAGTTTCTGCTACCCTTGTCCCAGCAGAGATCACTTTTGCAACATCAGTGGCCAAGCCTATCTCCTACCTGACCCCACGCTTGATAGTCTTTAGGGTGTCCCTGAGGCATGGAGCTGAGTACAATGGGGGAGCTCAGGAGGACCCTGAAATGCTTTGTGTTACTAGGTACCCAGGGTCATCCAAGACTTTCTGCACTAGGGGAGAAATGAGGATGAAGTCAGGAGCAAAAGCACCCACTGGGTACCAACCACGGCATAGTCAGCCTTGAATTCTTCTCAGTCCCTCCTCTCTATACCCTAGAAAAATATTACAACCACCTCCCTTTGTCCAGATCAGAAAATAATGAGGCTCAGAGAGATGGCAGTGACTTGGCCAGGGTCCAGGCTTCCTCATGTGGAGAGGATGGAATCTGAGTCAGGATCTGTAACTCTAGATCCCTTCTTGAAGACAGACTAGGATTAACCGCTGCCCATGAGCTGATTCTTACTGAGACTCCTCTTGGTGGGGATAAGAGCTGGGAAGCCAGGGAGAAAGCAGGAGGATCAGAATGGAGTGAAAGGGAGGGAGGCAGCACTGTGGAGGGGAGTAAACAGCAGTGACAGGGCAGGGGCAGAGGGCCCAGGGGAACTGGGGGAGGGGCCCAGCATGTTCCTGAAGGAAGAGGTGGGGGCCAGCAGGGTGGGGGTTACCTGCCAGGCTTAGGGCCTACTATAAGTCCCCCAGGGAGGTGAAAGTCAAATTGGACACAGACAATGGTGGTCTAGGGTATCCTGCCTTAGCACTTGAAAACAGTAAAAGCTGGGCGCAGTGGCTCACACCTGTAATCCCAGCAACTTGGGAGGCCAAGGCAGTTCCAAAGCCTCAGCAACTTAGTGAGGACCTGAGCAACTTGGCAAGACCCTGTCTCAAAAATAAAAAATAGGGGGCTGGGGATGTGGCTCAAGCGGTAGCGCGCTCGCCTGGCATGCGTGCGGCCCGGGTTCGATCCTCAGCACCACATACAAACAAAGATGTTGTGTCCGCCAATAACTAAAAGAAATAAATATTTAAAAAATAAAATAAAAAATAAAAAGGGCTGGGATGTAGCTCAGTGGTGAAGCACCCTTGCATTTGTTCTGCAGTTAATGATGACACCTGGGCACTAACAACCAAAAGAAAACAGCAAAGACACCTAGATGTCAGCAACAGAACAATTTAAAGGAGATGTTACTTTGCACTCCATTTTTTTTTTCCCCCAGTGCTAGGAATGGAAGCCAGGCCAAGTGCTCCACTGAACTACATCCCAGCCTCCTGACAACTATCTTTTGAGTGTGTGCCTGTGCAGTTTTTGTTTTGTTTTATGGAGATGATTAAGCCCAGGGGCACTTAATCACTGAGCCACATCCCCAGCCCATCTTAATATTTATTTAGAGATGAGGTCTCCCTGAATTGCTTAGGGTCTCCCTAAATTGCTCAGGCTGGCTTTGAACTCGCAATCCTCCTGCCTCTGCCTCTCAGCCACTGGGATTATAGGCGTGTGCCACCATGCCTACCTTCCTGTACAGTTTTCAGCGCACTTTCACATCCCGTTCTGAATCTATTCCTCATAACAGTTCCATCAGGTAGAGGAATCTAACCCTCACTTTACAGATGGATAAAGCAAGACATAGCGCACAGTCCTATGGTAGAATTGGGTTTTGGACCAGGAACCTCTGACTTCTTCCAACTCATTTCTTTTTTTTTTTTTTTAATATTTATTTATTTTTTTAGTTCTCGGCGGACACAACATCTTTGTTTGTATGTGGTACTGAGGATCGAACCCGGGCCGCACGCATGCCAGGCGAGCGCGCTACCGCTTGAGCCACATCCCCAGCCCCCAACTCATTTCTTAACTACATTGCAGAACCCCAAGCTGCCCCACAACCAAGACCCCAACCCAACAGTGTTATTAATGATGACACCTGGACACCAACAACAATTCCTTGCCTCTTCAGAACTTTTCAGAGTCTGAAATATAGCTGCAATGACCTTACTTCACTGTCCTCCCTTTAAGCAGGGAGATTGGGTGTTCTCACCTGACCCAAGAAACTGAGATACAAAGCCACACTGTAAATCAGTGACAGGGCTGGCTCAGGTCTAAAACTTACCTGCAGCACTGAGAGGTTGGTCTGTCCAGAAAGGCTCAGCTTCTCCTGCTCTGAGGGGTAGGCGTTGTAGCGGTGCAAATACAGCCAGTCCCGGAGGATCTTCACGGACTCCTTGGGTAGGTTCCCCCTGCGCTTCCTCTTGCCCGCCAGGGAGAGGAGGCCTTCATCTTCACCCAGATCACTGTCCGACATGGTGCCTAGGAGCTAGGCTGGATCTTAGGTGAGCCTGGGACAAGTGGCATAGGGGACATCATTACTGTGCACTTACTGCCACTTACCCTGTTTCCTAGTTTGCTCACTACTACTACAGCCTGAGATTCCAGAAACTGAGGAGTCTCCAAAGTCTCTGGCTATACCCTAGCTGAAGAAACTAGAAGGATGAGTGCAAAATGCCACCGTTTCGTGGAGCCAGATAGGTGACTACTAAATGAGCGGCATCTGGGCATGGTGGTGCACACCTGTAATCCCAACTACTCAGGAAGCTGAGGCGGAAGGAGTGCAAGTTTCAGGCCAGCCTGGGCAACTTGGTAAGCACCTATCTCAAAATTAAAAATAAAAAGGGCTGGAGATGAGGCTCAGAGGTTAAACCCCTCTGGGTTCATCCCTGGTATCAAATAATCTAAAATGAATGGCAACTCAAGTAGGAAGACTATAAATCATTACGACTATGATTGAAATCTACTGTACCCAGCATTTTATTTTACTTCATTTAATTCTCACAAACCCCTCTGAGGGAGAAACTATTCATATTGTTTTATAGATGAGGAAACAAGGAAAATAATAAGAATGCAACCCGGGTCCACACAAAACCTCATACACAAATGTTCACAGCAACCTTATTCACAGTAGCCAAAAGGTGGAAACAACCAAGTGGCTATCAACAGATGAATGATTTGTGATTTACTTATACAATGAATATTATCTGTCCAAAAAAAGAAGTTCTCATATTTTCTATAACATGGACGGACCTTGAAAACATGCTAAGTAAACCCTCAAAGAGGCTAGCCACACAAGACCACATATGGTATGTTTCCATTTACAATGGAATGTCCAGGATAGGAGGCTCTATAGTGACAGAAGGGAGATTGGGCAGTTAGGGCTGGGGAGGATAAAAGAGTGATAGCTACAGGGAATGGAGTTTCTTTCTGAGAGGATAAAAATATCCTAAAATTGACTGGTAGTGATCGCTGCATATGGTTGTAAAAATACTAAAAACCACTGATTTATATACTTTAAATTAGTGAATTGTGTAGTATGCAAGTTATATCCCAATAAAAAGTTACTTTAAAAAAATCCCATCTGCAGGAGTTATTCAAGTAGGATTTGGGCTCAGGTAACCTGCTTCTCCCATCCCTTTGTGATCTCTACATTATCTTGCCTCCCAGGTCTCCCAAGGCCAGTGAGGTGTCTGGAAACTATAATCACATGGTCCTGCAACAAACCATGTAATATTTATTAAGCATCTACTGTGTACCGTGCCAAGAGTAGTGAATCATCCCTACTGGTTGTTTCTTAGATACTCTCCTTGTTTAGGCCTCAGCCTGGTCCCAGGCAAGGCTCTATCTGGTCCCTGCCCTACCCCCATTTGGCTGTGTGACCCTGGGTAAGTATCCTTTCCTCTCCTGGCTTGAAGTTCCCCCTCCTTCACCTGTCAAACAGAGGAAGATTTTTTTTTCCCCCAGATAACCCAATTCAGCTGCTCATTCCCCCCCTAAAGTTCTTGTTCACACAAGCAAAAGAAATTTACATTTAAAAGCAAAAGTTCTAGGCCAAGCCTGATGCCAGAATCTCAAGGCTCCTCCCTTCTCAGCCTTTTAACAGCTCCCCAGCAGCCTGGGCCAACAGACTCTGGCATCTCCCAGGTTTTGTTTCCTCGACTTGGGTCTGAGCCCAGATCTCTGGGCCAGTGAGGCCAGGCTTTCGAGGGAAGGGTCTACCCTCAGCCAGGCCACCTGGAGGTGAGACAGGCACTGCTTAGACGTGCCACTCCTCAGAAAGCACCACTGCTGTCTGCTTTCTGAGGTCAGACATTTCTAGCTGCCAGGGCAGCTGGGATCTGGGCTCAGGGATGCAGCCCTGGCAAGCAGTGAGAAGTTTACTCAAGGTTATCTGTACAAATTCCACCCTGGCTGCCAGCCAGAACCCAATCTGCAGGGTTCCAGAGGTAGGCCCCGGGGATGACCCCTTAGTCTGCACAAACCTTTCCATTTCGGTGTCCTGCTTCCCAGGCCGGCCTACAGTCCTGCAGGTTTCCCACATACTTTATTTCATTTACACATCTTGCCCACCCCACAGGCAACTCCGATAGCGATCAGGTAACTGGCACAGCCCACTGCTGAACTCCTACAAGCCCCATGATTTTCAGACACACATTGCACGCACACAGCTTACAAACCCCAAGCCTAGCACCAAAGACTGTGACCCACTCAACTAGCCCAACTCCTGCATCCGCCCACCCACGAACTCCAACCGACCCGCCCACCCACGATGTCCCGAAGGGGAAAAGCTCTGGTCGTCATCACATCAGCGGTCAGCTCAGAGCCCCTCCGACACAACACCCAGTGCACCCTCCTACATGCTCCCACGACGCCACCTGCAGCCACTCCCGCAGGAACTTTCTGACAACTCCCCCAGCTCGGCCGACACTCCCCCGGGTCGCGCACCGGGGCTCACATTCCCAGCAGTTCACACAAAGCGCGAAACCTCCCCCGCGGCCCAGACAGAGCAGAGCACATGGCTCCCGGGGCGGCTAGGAGTCGGCCGGCGCTCGGGGCGCCCGCACCCCCGGCCCCCCACCCCAGGTCAAAATGCGCGCAACAGCTCCTTCGTGGGCCTGCAAACCCGGAGGGGCTAGGGCTCTGGGGAAAAAGAAAACTCACGTGTCTGAACCGGGGCAGGAAAAGTTTGGTTCCCACCCCCTTCCCGGGCTACTCGGAGCTGGCTGCCTCTTCGGGGCGCGGGGCCGGCGGAGCGTGCGCGCTCGGCTTTGTGCTCCGAACTCGGCCCGGAGGGGGAGGGGAGAGGAGGGGGCTGGGCTCCCACCTCCGCACCGCCCCCCCAGTCCTGCGCCCAGACTCCATGTTGTTCGCCCCCAGCCCCAGGGACCGCGCGCCTCCGCGGCGTGAGGCTCGGCTCCCCGTCGCCTGCTCAAGGTCCCGGCGCGCACAAACTTTCTCCCGGTCGCCGGCCCCACGCGCCCCGCTGCCTTGGCCCGCCCGGGAGTGACAGATGCCTCGGAGACAGACTTTCCTTTGTTCCAAAGGAAAGGGGAACTCGCGCGGGCTCCCCACCCTCCTCTCTCGGGGCCCTTCCCACTGCCCCCACCCCCAGCTGTCACTCTCAGCCGCCCCCTCCCCGGCTCGGCCGCGGGGGGGCCCTGCCGGCGGTTAGCAACGTGCACTTTTGAAACCAAACAAACCCGCCCCCCGCGCGCTCACCCCAGTCCGGGGCACTGGCGGCCCGCTCCCAGAGTGGGATCCTAGGGAGCTGGGCCCCCCAAAAGGGCCCGAGCGAACTTCCTCCCGGGGGCTGACGAGGCTCCCGCCAGCACTCCGCAGTCGGGACTCACAAACACACCCGAGCTCACACACCCACAATCGCACGCGCCAGGATGACGCCCCCTCCCCCGCCCGGCAGCGAAAAAGAAACTTTCCAAGTTGTCCGCGCGCCCCCACCCCCATCTCCGCCCCTCCTGCGTCCCGCACTGACTTTTCCCGGCGGCTTTCGGGCCCACGCGGCCTCGGGCAGGGTGCGGGGCTTCCCGGCCGGGGCGGGGGGCGCCGGGGGCGCGCGCCGCGTACCTGCCGGGCCTGACACCCGCCTGACAGCTCGCGGCTGGAAAGCACCTCGCGGCCTGACGTCAGATCCCCTCTCCTCCCCTCAGCGCGCGCCTCGCCCTCCCCCACCGCCCGGAGGCAGCAAACAAACTTTGCGCCGAGCGCGACCAACTACGCCCACCCCCCGCGGGGCGGGTCCGCAGCCCGGGGGGCTCCGCCCCGCCCACCGCGCCGGAGGGGGCGGGCCCGGAGGGCACCTTCTTCCTGCGCCCACCCACCTCAGGAATGCCACATGGCCTCGGGAGGGAAGCGGTGGGACCTGGGCTCCCGCAGCCCGCTTAGGGGCAGGAAGTGGCCCGCTCCTCCTTTCGGAGAGCATTTCCGGAGCGCCTACTGTGTGCTCTTGGCCCGGGGTGGGGCCTTACAAAGGGAGAACTTTGCCAGTCCCGACGATTGCGTGTGTGCCCCGCACCAGAACTCGGGTCCGCGCCGGGATGGTTCACATTGCTTGGAGGAGAAACTGAGGCCAGTTAGTCCCAGACTTACCCCCAGTTGGTAAGGTGCCCGGCTCAAAATGCGATTCCTGTTCTGTCCTTAAGGGCCCACAGACTCTGGAATAAGGCTGCCCGGGAACTACCCCAAGCAGGTAACCTAGGCCTCTCATTCAAGGGCGGTCAGCCAGGCTGTGCGCGCACTTCTAGGTATCGTTGGAGGTACATCAGGTTGTGGGATAGGTGCTGCCTTACCTGTGAGCTGCAGAGAGGGTCAGCGTTTGCTTTTGTCACAGTTAAACAGTATCATTCAGCCAGGTGGGTCAGACAGCAAAGCCAGAGCCATCCACCGGTTGGGCTGGTCCTTGACAGGTTCTGAGGGGCCGGCTGGGAGCTAGCGGGCCTTGGCTGGTTCCTCTTTCCTCTGTGGTTACATACTGCTCCAGGAGCTTTTTCTTGACTTCCCACCATCCCGCCAGCGCTCCTGGTCTCTGAAGTGTGCACCCCACAAACCGGAAAGTATCTGCTGATCCTCGCCTAATTCGAACCAGGAAAACCCTCTTCTGGGCTACTCTTTCTTCGTCCAGGCCCAGATATGTGGGGCCCTTGAGATTAGAAATCAACTGCTTTGAAAATAGCTTTTTGTAATTTTTTTCTTTAATGCTTTCTCTTATTTATTGTTTTGTTATTGCTGAGATAGGTGCTCCCTATGTTGCACAAGCTGATCTCCAGCCCCTGGGTATAAGTGATCCTCCAGCCTCAGCCTCCCTGAGTAGCTCGGAATGCAGGCAGGCACCAGTAACTGGTATGTATGTATGTATTGGTACTGGGGATTGAAATCAGGGGCGCTGTACCACTGAGCTACACCCCCAGCCAGCCCTTTTTATTTTTTGTTTCAAGACAGGTTTTTGCTAAGGCTCCTAAGTTGCTAAGGCTGGCTTCAAATTTATGATCCTCCTACTTCAGCCACCTGCACAGGGTGGGGGTAGGAATTACAGTAAAACCACAAAGTGACCAGGTCAACTCAGTTTTTTGTTTGGTTTTTGGTACCAGGGATTGAACCCAGGGCCACTTGACCACTGAGCCACATCCCCAGCCCCCTTTTATACTTTATTTAGAGACAGAGTCTCTTTTTTGTTGTTGTTGGGTACCAGGGATTGAACTCAGGGGCACTTGACTACTGAGCCTCATCCCCAGCCCTATTTTGTATTTTATTTAGAGACTTGCTAAGTTGCTAAGGGCCTTGATAAGTTGCTGAGGCTGGCTTTGAATTTGTGATCCTCCTGCCTCAGCCTCCCAAGCTACGGGATTACTGGAGTGTTCGACCATACTTGGCTTCAGTTTTTGGTCTTAATTACACTTTATCAGTGGAGAACTCTGGGAACAAAAGTTGAAAATTTTTTTTCCCCCAAATAAGTCCTAAGTCAATAGGGTCACTGATTAAATGACTCTTAAGGTTCATATGGACTCCAAAGACACCAGATTTCCTGCAAATGCATAGAACTAAGTTGGCCAGCTGCCTACTGTCCAAAATGTCAATGACGCTGCCCAGTTCTCTCCACTACACAGATGGAGAAAGTGAGGCCCAGTATGGTGGCCACACACAATTTCTAGGCCAAGTTTGATCTGCAGCCCTCTGAGAAAAAAAGGGAGGCTTGGGCAGTCTTAGGTAAGAAAGGTCAAACCAGTTGAGTCCTAACCTAGGGTTGCAGAGGATGCATGGGGCAAGGATCTTTAGGAGGTGGGGAATCTGGAGGGAAAATAAAGGTCTAACCAGGTGAACTTCCTAAGTCTGTTGATGAAGACAGTGACTTCTCCCCACAACCTTTTTTTTTTTGGTGTGTGTGTGTGTGTGTGGTGCTGGGGATTGACTCAGGCCTTGTGCATATAAGGCAAGCACTCTACCAACAGAGCTGTGTCCCCAGCCCTCTCTCCTACCCCTTTGCCTGCAGCTGACAAAGCCAGTCTGGAGCCCCTTCCTAGACCTGGAGGGGAGGGAGGGAAGGGAAAGAGGGAGGCTGGTTGTGTATCGGGACTTCACAGAAACAAATTCCCTGTCAAAACAGTAAGTTTTTAGAAGTTGCAAGCTAATTTAGTCATTTTTTTTTTTTTCCTTTTTTGTGGTGCTGGGGATCAAACCCAGGGTCTTATGCTAGGCAGGTACTGGACCACTGAGCTACATCCCCAGCCCTGCTTTGGACATAGTTGATGAGAACTATCATGGGAAAACTTTTTCCAACTGTTAAAGTTGTTTTTGGAGACAGGTGTCCCACTAGATGGCCTAGGCTAGCCTCAAACTCCTGAGCTCAAGTGATCTGCCTCAGCATCCTGAGTGGGACAACATGTGTGTGCCACTGTGCCTGGCTCTGTCATCCCGTTTTGCCACACATTCTCTTTATTAAAAAATAAATAAAATAAAATTACTGTAGTGGGCTGGGGGTTTAGTTCAGTGGTAGAACCCTTGTTAGCATGCATGTGGTCTTAGGTTTGATCCCCAGCAATACACACATGCACACATGCGCACACACACACTACTGTGGCAAGAAACCTCTCCTCCTTTTTTCCCCACACATGAAGAAACTGTCCCTGAGAGAAGAGACTTGCCTCATGATGAGTGTAGGACCCAGTACTCCGGGAAAGATCTGGGCTGAGATAGGAGAGATGAGTGGTTTCGAAGCCCAATCTGATCTGGCTCTCCAGATCATAAGTCAGTTTCTTGCCTGAATACCAGAAAATCCCAGATCTCAGAAGCTCTTGGATGTGGGACTTTGTGTGCCAGTTTCTGGCATTGGTAGTTACACAGATGCAAATGAATGTCATATGAATTCACTTTCATTAAAAAAAAAAAAGTTAGGGACTGGGGATGTGGCTCATTGGTAGAGCACTTGCCTAGCATGTGCAGGGCCCTGGATTCAATCCCTAGCACTATAAGAACAACAAAAACACTAGCTGCTGCCCTTTTTTGGAAGTGGGAACCACCAGGGCCAGCATTCACTGAAAGCCACGTCTAGGCTTCAGCCTATAGAAGTTGGGGCTCTCTGGGGTATAAGAAATAAGAAATGCGTATAGCAAAGTCCAGTGCAAATGAGTGATTAAATAGATAGCTTGGTTGGCCAGCCAGGTGGTAGGACCTTCAAAGTGGGGGACTTGGCAGCATGAGCAGCAGGGCATCCTGGGCAAGTTCCTGGGATGGCTACTGAGGAGAGTTGGGAAGAGGCTGGAGGCGCATGGCCAGATAGGTCAGCTCTGGGTAATGAGGCTGGAGCTGCTAGAGACCTCCCTGGAGACGGGGGTTTGTAGCTGTCGTGTGGATTTCCACTTATCAACATCTTTCTTCTTAAAAGTCTCCTGTTGCTGAACACAATAGTGCATGCCTAGAATCCCAGCTACTGGGGAAGCTGAGGCAGGAAGATCGTAAATTCTAGGCCAGCCTTGGCAATGAAGTGGGACCCTATCTCAAAAATAAAAGGGCTGGAGGTGTGGTGAACAGGTAGGGGAAAAAAGTCTCATCTTGTTGGTCAATCACAATTGACTGAACTTTTTCTTAGTTATTGGGCATTTACTAACTTAAAATTTTTTCTTTTGTGGTACTGGGGCTCAAACCCAGAGCCTTGCTGTTAACGACCCTTGCTAAATTGCTGAGGCTGACTTTGAATTTGCAATCCTCCTGCCTTAGCTTCCAAAGTTTCTGGGATTACAGACATGGGCCATCTTGGCATTGAAGTGGGACCATATCTCAAAATAAAATTTTGGCCATCATACCCAATTGAGGTTTAGGTGTCTTTTTTTTTTAATATTTATTTTTTAGTTGTAGTTGGACACAATACCTTTATTTCACTTATTTATTTTTAAGTGATGCTGAGGATCAAACCCAAGGTCTTGCACTTGCAAGGCAAGTGCTCTACCGCTGAGCCACAACCCCAGACCAGTTTAGGTGTCTTTGAAAGGTTCTATGTATAGACTCGAGAGTCTGTAATTATAGGTATATGTGGATGTATTTACACACATACACATAGGTGTGCCTGTTTACTCACAGTGTAGGCAACATGGGGTTTATCTTTCCTTCTCCCTATTTTAACCTTTGTCAGTTTAACTCATAAGGAGTATTACTAAAACTGTGTATGTTTGACATGGATTTTTAAAAATTAATTTAAATTAATTTATTTTTGGGATTGAAATCAAGGGTGCTGTATCAATGAGCTACATCCCCAGACTTTTTAAAAATTTTAATTTTAAGGCAGGGTCTCACTAAATTTCCCACATTAACCTTGAATTTGTGATCCTCCTGTCTCAGCCTCCTGAGCAGCTGGGATTACAGACGCGCCATCACGTCCAGTTTAGGAGCAGTATCCTTACTTCTTAGAGGACAACAGACTGATTTTGGTGAGGGAAGGAACACTTTGAATGAATTTCTGTAGTGGACACAAATTCTCCCGCAGGAAGCAATGAAGCTTGCACTTTAACAACCCCTCTTTCTCTTCCAAGGCCCTGGGAGTTGTTATATATTTTTATAAAATTTATATAAAGTTAAGAAATTTTAGCAGGTGTGGTGGTGCGTGCCTGTAATTTCAGCAGCTCCAGAGCCAAGGCGGGAGGATCACAAGTTTAAAGCAGCTTCAGCAACTTAACAAGGCCTTAGCAATTTAACAAGTGCTGGGGATGTAGCTTTAGTGGTTAAGCATCCCTGTGTTTAAAATAAAATAAAAATTTAATAACAATCAGTTAAGACCACTGTTTTATTCTACTATTTCTCCTCCTCACTGTTCCCTTCTGTCAGGTGACCTTGTATTGGCCCTGAACATTTTTGTGCATCTGGAAAGGCTGAGTTATGAATATATTTGATTTAGGTTTCTTTACGTAGTTAGTACTCACTTCCATGGACAGTTCATATATGGCTAAGTGTCCTGGCATTTGAAAGGCTGTCATGCCTCAAAAGTTTCAGGAACAGAGTTCCAGTGCAAAGGCATCTTGTGAGTGTATAATGGAGGCGCGTAAGTGAAGGAAGATAAACAGTTTGAAAGGACTAGAGTTAGA